ATATTTAAATTTTTTAAAAACACCATAGCCCTAGCTAGTTTTGCTCAGTGGTTAGAGCGTCAGCTGGCTGACTGAAGGTCTTGGGTTCAGTTCCGCCCAAGGGCACATATCTTGGTTGTAGGCTCTGCCCTGGTAAGTCAGGACATGTGCAGGAGGCAACCAATCAATGTCTCTCTCACATCGATGTTTCTCTCTCTCTTCTCCCCCTTCCACTATCTCTGAAAAGCAATGGAAAAAATATCGAGTGAGGATTAAAACAAAAAAACACACAAAAAAACACCATAGACTAATTGGTATAAATAAAAGGTTCCTAGGACATCATATCAATGATATGATTAAATGACATTCAACATTGAACTACATTACATTATTGGAGGACTTGCTATAGTTTTTGAACAAAAGCCAGTTTGAAGACAAAATGATAGCAGAAAAGATAGTAATAAAAGAGATACGCTTATAGGAATAACTTTAATAAGAATTTCCTGAAATGTGTTGGATGAACACTTGAAAGCATCCCTAAGGAACTCAAAAGACAGCTAGATGGAAAGCTCACCAGTGTTTTAAACATCTTACACGTTCTACAATAAAAGACAAAGAAAGCCCTACCTAGTATGGTAGATGCTTTTCCAGCCAGTCTCAATGGTCAGCTGAGTTCATGGTCAGTATGGTGGGAAACCCTGACCTCTCCGACGCTTGCCCCCAGACGAAGGCCTTCATCCACCATGAGCTGCTGGCCTACCTATATTCATCGGCAGACCAGACCAGCCTCATGGAGGAGTCAGCTGACCAGGCCCAGCGGCGGGACGACATGCTGCGCATGTACCATGCACTCAAGGAGGCGCTCAACATCATCGGGGACATCAGCACCAGCACTGTGTCCACACCTGTGCCCCCACCTGTTGATGACACCTGGCTCCAGAGCACCAGCAGCCACAGGTCTGTGAGGCCTGGTCAACCACTTGCTGCAGAGGCTGCTACCTGCGGGTTTCTAGCTCCTCTCCCAACCCATGGGTGGGTAGGGTAAAGGGGCCCAACCAGGGTGGCACAGCACCCAGAGCTAGTCACAGTGACCTCAGCCTGAAGGGACTGGGAGAAAGAAGGGTTAAAGGCCAGACTGTCTCCTGGTGCCTTCCATTCCTTCAGCCCAAATGGAAGCCAGAGAGGGCAAGAGGCCCAGGGTGACACCAGCCAAGAATGGTGGGTGGGGGAGAATCTGGAGGGGCAAATAGAGGGCATAGCCAGTACATCTCCTCCCCTCCAACTGACCCCGAGCTGTTGGATAGAAATGAGACCCTGGTATGGGTAATTCAGAGCATCAGGCAGGGAAACCTAATTAGTAGAAGGTCAGGCAAGTAGTGGGAAGAGAGAGGATAGGTCAGAGAAATCTCATAGAAGTTGTCAGCCCTACTGAGACCTCAGGGAACCCCAGAGTTACGTAGGGAGAGGACATAGCATCCAGCATGGGGAGCAGTGGGTGTTCAGGCCTGGGGGTAGCCTGTGGGGCACATGGGACAGAGGCTTGTGGCTTCTGGAGGCATCTGGACTTGAATTGTAGGGCAGAGCTGGGCTCTGGTAGGATTTTTTACTTTGGAGTAAGTACGGAGGTAGTGAGGCCAAAATGGGCCAGTGAGAGGGAAATGTCTGTGAAAGCGAGGTCAGAGGGAAGCAGGAGCCCTTGGCCAAGGACAGGTTTGGGGCAGGAGAATGGCCATTTCTTGCAGGTTTGGGGGGTGAGCAGAGGATCCCAGTGACCTGCACTGCCCCTTGTCCAGGACCAGGTGCTCATGCACATCTCCCTGGGTGGTAGCTGATGCCAGCCCATTACAGAGGAGGCCACTGTGGCCAGCAGCCCCAGCCCACCTCTGGCTTCTGTGGCCTCGTTGGCATGGCTGGTGTTCCTGCCCACTGTTTCCAGCTCAAATCCTTTCTTCCACAGCCCCACTCCGCAGCGCCGACCTGTGTCCAGCGTGCACCCTCCGGGCCGGCCCCCAGCAGTGAGAGGCCCCACCCCAGGGCCTCCCCTGATGCCCACGCCGGTGGGGGCAGCAGCCTCCTTCTCAGCGCCTCCTATCCCATCCCGGCCCATACCCCAGAGTGTGTTTGCCAATAATGACCCCTTCTCGGCCCCGCCTCAGATCCCGTCTCGACCCCCTCGGATTCCACCCGGCATCCCCCCCGGAGTGCCCAGGTAAGGTTGACCCCCTAGTTGCCTATCATTTAGAGCCACTGGCCTGCACCCTGCAGGGAGTGTAAGTCGCCAGCATCTTCATTTGGTGTGGAAACTGAGGCCCAGAGAGGCCAAGTCAACTCCCTGAAGTCACGGAGTGGTGGAGTCAGATGACTCCAAAGCTCCAGGCCTATCTCCTGCCTGAGCAGGTAGATCGACCACACAGCTTGGGACCCTCACACGGGGCCTCTTCCCCTGGTTTTGGCCTTTGCTTCCTTACAGAGGAGATGTATCAGTCATGACAACCTGCCCTGCCTTTCCCCACTGTGCATTCCAAGCTCTCTTCTCCCCACTTGTCCTGTAAGGAACCTGAGGTCCAGAGTGGGTGGGAGACTTGCCCAGGGTTACAGATCAAGTCAGTGACTGTAGGCTACCAACACCTAGGCTTGGCATACTCATCCCCGTCACCCTGGCAACATCCAGAACATCTAGCAAAGGGCAGCAACCTGGGAGGGGGTAGTGGGGCCTGGGTCCTCATCGTTGCCCTGCTTCCAGCCTCACTGCCGTCTCCCCCTCCCTGTCTATCTTTATTCTCTTTGCAGCAGAAGACCCCCGGCTGCGCCCAGCCGGCCCACCATTATCCGCCCAGCCGAGCCATCCCTGCTCGACTAGGCTGCAGGGGCATTTTCTCGGGGGGTTCCCTGTGCACCCTCGGTGCAGGAGCTTTGTTGGTCTGGGCCCCTCTGCTGCCCCTGGCCCTCCCATCCCTGTACCAGGCCCAGGCTCCCTGACTCCTAACCCTGGCCCAGTCAGGGGCTGGCCTGGCCCCTGTCCCCAGCTGGACATAGCACTGAATGAAGGGGGGCCCTGGAGCCTCAGTGTGGGGGGAGCTTGGGTGTTGCACTTTGGGGGATGAGGCTTTGGGTAGCAGAGGAGGGAACTGGACCCTGAGCACCATCTTGAATGAGGGATCCCTTCTGGTATAATAAGGACTCACCCAGGGACTTCTCTGGCCAGAAAGCCTGAGTAGACCAGGCCTTCTGGAAACTGGGCACCAAGGATACCCTTAGTCCTTGCTGAGGTGCAAGGAGTGTGTCCAATTAGCAGCGGGATCTCCCGGTGGCAAGCCAGGAGTGGGTCCAGTGCTGCCCACCCAAGCTGTACATATTCCTTCCTTGGCCGTATTAACCACACGGCCCAGGCTTGGCTGCCAGAGGTGCCTTTGCCAGGTCCAGAACCCTCAGCTCCACTGGCCTCGCTCTCTCCTCCCTTGACCCCCTCCTCCTCCTGGGTCCCCAGAGGGCTGAGTGGGTGGGGAGGCTTTGGGGGCCCCTTGGCTCCTACCCAGGCCTCCCACATGGGGCAGGCCCCAGGTGGCCACTCTCTGAGCAGACCTCGCTCACTGCTCGCTCGGTTTGACCACTGTAAGTGCCTGCACTCTGTATCCTATTAATAAACTAAAATAAAGGGAAGAAGCTTCTGGTGGCTGCTGTGTGGGCCTTTTGTGTTGGTGTTCAGGCTGAGGATGTGGGCTGCTTGCCTTCCCCCAGGAGGCCTCCGATGAGAACCCCACCCCTTCCACCACAGGCTCCCGCACACCTCACTCATGGGGGTTCTGCTCTTGTGGGATGGCTCATTTCTTCCAGAGGAATCCATACTTTAGAGGGGAGAGCTTTTACTTTCCTTAACATCTCAGGAGTGCAGGCATATATTCCCCACCACCCCACCCCACTACAACCACACAGGCCTGAGGCCAACATCAGGATCTCTAAGGGGAGAGGGAATCCTGGCCCTCCACCCCGAACTGTGCAGCTGTCAGGCCCTCTCTGCCCCGAAGTCCTGAGCATTTCCCCCAGGTCTCCTCTTCCCAATTTTGGGACCCCAGGCCTTCTGGCCCAGCTGGGGACACAGTTAAACTTTGCTTTCTGATTTTTCTCTTATGCCCAGGCGACCACCTCCATCGGCTCCCGCCAGACCCTTCTTCTGAGCTTCGTGAGAGACCCTTCCTGCCTGCCTGGCTGCCCTCTTGGGAGCAGGTCTGTCCTGGCTGGTGTCCCTGAGTCCCAATCACCAGGCTCTGATTTTCTGACCATAATTTATTGGCTCCAGTCCCCAGGCCAGACCACCCTTTGTTCTGTGAGGCTCCTAGGAGTGCAGGCTTTGGCCAGGCCACCCCTCAGCCCTGTCTGGGGCCCCTGCAGGGAGAGCAGGAGGCATGGGTGGTCTTGCAGGCCCCACTCCTGGAATTCTGTTACTGGACCTCACACCTAGCCCCTGCTGGGCCGAGGGGCTGGCTCCTTCCTGTCAATAAAGTGACTGTCCTGGCAAGAACACTGCAGCTGAGTCTCCTTCCTAGCCCTGGCATGGGCAGGCTGCCTTCAGCAGCAGCAACAGGCCCCAGGTGAAGCGACAAGGAGGGGAAGGAAGGCATGGGGTCCCATGAATAGCAAGCTTCCTCCCTCCATGACCTGGCTCCTAGGGCCAGTGGAGAAGGGAAGGGCAAGTCTGCTTCCTAGACCCCATTCCGCACCAGGCAGTGGTGGTGCATCTGGAAGGCTCAGGCTAAGGCACATTTACAGTAGGGGACAGATGCGGGGACAGAAAATCCCAGGGTTGCATTCAAATGCTGCAGTGCCCCCATGCACAATTTCCAGGAAAGGAGGTACAGCCAATGAGCTACCCCTTCTGGATGGCCCAGACCTGCAGGCCAGCCAGTATTCTGGCCTGAAAGGGAAGACACCTCAGGCCCAGAATGCACAGCTTCCCCTCCCATAGGAAACTAAGTTGGTGAAAGGACCCCCCAAGTCTCACACATGCACCCTGCTGCCATTCCTTTTCCATTCTTCAGAAACGGGGGCTACGTAGGCACAGGGCGCTTATCCTGGAAGAAGCGCTTGAGTGTGCAGACCTGCAGCACAGCCACTAGCAGCAGCACTGCCACGTTCACAGCTGACCAAAAGTTGACCCGTTCCAGGTTGCCCTCCTGCAGGTTGCGGTCACGTGCCTCAAAGGCTCGCAGCAGTGTCAGCATCTGGATGCTGCGCTCCAGACGGGTCCTCATAGTCTCTATAGATTCCTGTGGGACAAGGGAAGAGCAAGGTCAGGCAGGCCTCTGTCCGTTGGGGAGCAGAGGCCAATAAAATGGGGAAATGGGGTTAGAGTCTGTGTTGCTGGTTGGGGGGAGAGCTGAGAGCACGAAGTCTGACCAGGCTGCCTGCCTGAGTGTAAGTCCTCATTCTGCCACTCACTGGCTGTGAAACTGTGAGCAACTTAATTACCTCTCTGGGCCTCAGGTGCCTCAGAATTGTGAGAACTGAATGCTTAAATAAGTGTAAAGAATGTATTTACTAATGGATAACAGCACAGTTGCTGAATCCAGGCTGCCTGGCTTCAAATATTGGCTCTGCCAGTAGCTAGCTGTGTGACCTTAGGACAGTTCCTTAGCCATCCTGTGCCTCAATAAAATGGGGGATGATTTGAGCACACTACCTACTTCATAGGGTAGTTATGGAGATTTAATGAGTTACTTAAGCCTTAAAATCAGGGTTTACACCTAGAAATGTGATATTTTTAACTGTAAGCTGCTACTGTTAAGTTGGGGGCATCACTGCTAGGAAAGGCTGGGTCAGGCCAAGGAGGACCCCAGCAAAGGTTGGAGGGCAGGGGCACACTGCTGCCCAATGCCAGAGATCTGGGAGGAGTGTCCCCAGCTTAGCCTGGGTGCACCTTGATGTCCTCCATCTTGACATCCAGCATCTCCTCAGGCTCCACGACCTCTGCCCAGCCTTCGACCTCCTCATCTTCCTGGAGGCTGTCAAAGATGAGTTCGAAGAACACCAGCTTCTCGGAGATTGTGCTGAAGGAGTTGTCAAAGCACAGCTTGTAGTCCCCAGCCTCCGTGGGTTCTACCCTGGACAGATAGGTAGACACACAGACATGACCCTGAATGGCCGCCAGCTGGACTTTGCGAAACAGGCAGGACAGTAACCGGAGGCCGATGGGGAGGGGCAGGGCTGTAACCGAACCCCAGCGGGCAGCAGGACTTAACTCACGTGTGCACCCCATCTGCCTTGCGGGACTCACTGACCAGCAGCACGCCCTGAGGGCTCTCCAGCGTGAAATCCACATCCAGCCCAGCACCTGCGATCACCTGAGGGGCAGGTAAGAGCAGGTGGAGGGCTAGGAGTAGGCCAAGACACCTGCCAGAGAAGGCCAGGGCTGGACCACCGAGCAGACCCATACAGACCACTAGAGACCTACCTGAGCTCTGACACCCACACCTGCAACCGGGTCCTGCCCCTACCCCTCCAGGCCTCGCCCATTGCCTTTACTCTGTCCGCATTGATACGACAGCTTTGGAATCCGCTCTTTCGTATGGTAACGCCAGCGTCGGAAGTCCTAGATTGGCTTTTACCTGGCCACGCCTCTGACTTTGGCCACACCCTGTTCAGCCTTCAGCCCAAGCCCCCAAAAAATCAAGTTGGTCACGCCCTTTCTCGTAGTGCATCCTGGTCACGCCCACCAACCCATTCAATCCGCCACAACACTTCGGCCACGCCCACGGAGGTCGAACAGTGAGAAGGGCGCTATTCTTTCGGATGGCCCCGCCTCCCGGATGTCTCGCTCTACCCCCGCCATCTATTACTCCCACCTCTTCCGCTCCCACGCGCTGTGCCCGCCCCCTTCGTCTGACTCTCAGACTCCGCCCCCACGCTCTGCCGCACAGGCTCCCGCCCCTCTTTAAGACAGGCCTCGCTGTAGCTGCTTGGCCACGCCCCATCCCCTTGGCTGTGTTCGCTCTGCGGCCCCGGACCCTCTACCTGGTACTCGGTCTCGAGGCTTGCGTTGGCCGGCGCGGACTGGTAGAAACATTGCTTTCTCCCCGCAGGCAGCAGGAATGTGAACTCGCCGTCCTGGATCGGTGGGGGCCCTGCCCCTCCCACCCCCACTGTCGGCAGTAGGAGCCACAGGGCCAAGGTTAGGGCCGCGTTGGCCGCCATCATCTGGATCATCCTTCAGTCTCCTAACTGGTCGTGGCTCCTTTAAGGGCTAGCCCTGCCCCCTCTGCTACTCAGCAGAGCTTATTGGCAGTCGCTTCAGCCCTTTATTCGAAACCAGCAGAGTCGGGAGTGAAGGACCCCCTGAGGGTGTAGCTGCCCAAATGGTGTGCCCGAAAACATTCAACCTTGTAGAGACTTTTTTCTAGAGGCCAACACTTTTAGTTTTAATTGCTGGTGAAGGAAAAAGACAAAAATAAGCGACATGATATTGTGTTTTTCTCAGGCAAATATTAAAGACAACTAAGGTGGACGCGTCCGGGTCCTTCTAAGGCACAGCCTCTCAGTTTTCCCAGAGTAGACCGCGCGCAAAGACTGTCGGGCGACCCAGTCTGGGTGGAGCTGGGCCAAAATAGAGGATGGGCGTGGTCGTGCTCGGGACCCTTAGGGCTCGCAGATAAAAAGTCTCCGCTGGGGTGGGGCGGAGAATTTTTCATATTAACGGGGGTATCATATTACCCCTGGTCTCTGAGCAAGGCCGCAGCTTCGATGCCCGGCTCCTCATTCCCTTTGCGCCTTAGAACCTATCAGTTTCCTTATCTGTTAAGTTGGGGATGATGACAATTTAATAAGATGAAGCTGTGGTCCATAGTAAGCGCTTGGTTTTCCTTGCATAGAGTTAATACAGGGACTTGGCCCCAAGCCAAGGGTCTCAAACTCAGTGGCCAGCCGGTAAGCAGGGTGATTCAGTGGCCCAGGGTGCTTAGAGTCAGCAGAGAAGAGGTGAAGAGAGTGTCGACCTGGGAGCCAGGTTGCCTAGCTCAAACCACACCCCACCCGTTACTTGAAGTAATCGCCCTACTGGCCCTCAATTTCCCCAACTGTAAAATGGGGATGATGCTAGGCCTACCTCATTGGGCTGTTGGTGATGATGAAGTGAGATAATGCTTGTTTAGTGCTTGATATATCATAGGCCCTCATTGAATATATATTATATTCTAGGTTTATCATACAACCATTTAATCTCTTCCTCAGTCTGGCTTAGAGGATTTGGAGACAACCTCCCTCTGGGAAGCAGACAAATAAGCAAAGAAGTCGTTGGAGAAATGGACTCTGCTTAGTGATTCCATCTAAACATAAGAAACTCTATACCCATTAAGCAGTTACTCCCATTAGATGGAAATTTTAACTTTTTAAAACTTTTATTTATTAATTTGAGAGAGAGAGAAAGGGAGAGAGAGAAATATCGATTTGTTGCTCCATTGGTTGGTTCTTGTATGTGTCCTGACCGGGGATCAATCCCCCCCCCACCTTGGTGTATAGGAATGATGCTCTAACCATCTCAGCTGTCCCGCCAGGGCTGAAATTTTTAATCTAAATATAGGGCTGGGAGAGGCTGACAGGTAGTGACAATTACTCTTTAAATACAGCTGGTGGCTATTGGCACCTTCCTGCATTTGGAGAACTTAGGGAAGTAACACCACTTTGTAATGTCAAAGTTTATGTTCGGTTGTTTGGTATTTCATTTCACTAGTTTTTCTATCATTCAGACTCTGTTTGGACATTTTGAAGTAGTTGTGGAGAATGGGTGATTCATTTTTGTTTCTTTTTAATTTTGAGAGTACATTTATTAAAGCTGGAGACAGTGAAATGAAGGGCTTAGAAGAAGCAACAGGAGGGAAAAAAAGAAAAAGAAACAGGTGAGAGCCTAGGCAGTGCTGTTTTGGCCCTCTAGAAACATTATAGGAAAGAAGTGAGCCACACAGGACTGCAGACTCACTGAGAAGTAAAAGTCACAGTGACAGAAGTGGGCCAAGGTGGGGCTGCTTTTAGCTTACTGAAAAGTCATAGAAAAGGGGGTCTTGGGGACAGGTTCAGGGAGTTAGCCCAGGACGAGCTGCAGCTGCCTGCTGCTCCCCTGGTTGCAAGTCTCATGGGGGCCCTTAGAGTTTAGGAGAAGGAATAAAAGTACAGGCCTGAGAAGAGGAGGAGTACAGGTGTATATCTTCTTTGGAAAAATTTTGTGCAAGTTTTTGCCCATTTTATTTAAATATATCTTTATTGATTTCAGAGAGAGGAAGGGAGAGGGAGAGAGAGAGAAACATCAGTGATGAGAGTCATTGATCAGCTGCCTCCTGCACACCTCCTGCCCGCCCTATGCTGGGGATGGAGCCTGAAACCCTGGCATGTGCCCTGACAGGGAATTGAACCGTGATCTTCTGACTTCTAGGTCAATGCTCAACCGTTGCGCCATGCCCGGCCGGGCAGTCTTTGCCCATTTTAAAATTGAGTTGTTTGTCTTTTTGTTGTTGAGTTATAAGGGGGTTTTTTTATACATTATGGGAGAAAAGGGAAGAAAAAAGAAAAATGAAAAACCTCTCCCGCTCTGCAAATTTATGTAGTTTTAATGCTTCATCAGGGCATTTCCAGCTCTGCCTTAGCCCTCACTTCCTGTTTGTGCTGAACCTAGAGATCAGCCAGAGGTGAAAGCTTGTCTTATCAAGTCTTTTTTTGAGCATTTGTCCTGCCTTGGGGATGCATGATGCTTTCTAAACTCCCCAGTACATATGGGTGCTTTTGAGTGCACTAATTACCCAAAGAAACTTTCACCCCAGCTTTTCCTCCCTGCTTTTAGCATGTCTATCATTGTTCTCAGTTGTAATCTTTTGCCGCAGGCAGCTGTGGGGCATCTTTTGCCTTACACCAGTGATTTTCAACTTTTTCCATTTTATGGAGCACAGAACCTAATTACTAAAATTCTGCAGCACACCAAAAAAAAAAAATGTTTTTTTTTCTGATCCGACAAAAAAAAAAAAAGGTATAATCGGCTATTCTTGTGTTGGCTGTTGTGGTTTTTTATTTTATTTGACACTCTTAAGGGAAAAGAGGTCAGTGCCCCTGACTAAATAGTCAGGTATTGCCTGTTTTAAAAATTCTTGTGGCACACCTGCTGAAAATCATTGCCTTACACTGTTTTCCAGGAGTACATTCTGAGTCAAACAGACAAGTATCTGGAGTTAGTCTTGCAGGTCACCCCCAGACATATCAGAACAGACAAACACAATACTGTGAGAATGAGGGCTACTCTGCTCCCTCAGGAACTGGGTACACAGGCTGCTATCTTTAAGACCTGCCATGCTGTTGAAAGAGATGAGGGAAGGGCAGGGAAAACACAAAGCTTTCCTGCCGCTTTCACATTGCCTTTTTCCTGATTGAGTATTTGCTTGGTGGCATAAACCTTTGGCTCTTTCCCAGAGTTTGGATAAAGTTGATTCTGACTGTTTTTGCTCGATTTGTCAATGTTTCTGTGAAGGGATAGGCCCTTGGAGCTACTGACTCCTCTGTTTTCACTGACATCTGTGGTTTGAATGGGTAATTCTTATTTCCCTTGATAAAACAAAAATAAAACTTCCCCCTTTCCCATCACTCAACAAATATTTACTGAGTGTCTGACACTGTGAATAAAACAGACACTGTCCATGTATGTCCTTGTGGAGCTGTCATCCTAGTGTTGCTCCACTAAGATGATTTTAGATAGTCATGGGTGCTAAGAAGTAAATGCTAGGTTGTAGGTGGGGTGGCACAGTTAGCCTGGGTGGAGTCAGGGAAGGCTTCCCTGAGGAGGTGGCATTGAAACTCAGACTTGAAGTAGAAGGAATAGGAGGAGGTAAACAGAGAGAACAGTGCCCTGAGGTCAGAAGACATTCAGAGGGTTCAAGGGGCAGAAAGGAGGTGATAGGGTGAGAGGAGTAACCAGAGAAGAGATGGAAGCAATCAGCACAGGTCACATCATGTAGGGTCCCTCTTCCCTATGTAGTGTTGGCCTAGAATCTTACCTGGTGTTCTTACAACCATGGGGAGTCAGCAGACTGGCTTCTGGAGGTCAGGGATCCCCTGAAATTATAACGGAAAGATTCTAAGAGCTGTTCTTCACCCTTCCCTGCACCACTATGTGCCCTGGAAGGCTGATCTTTACTCACTGATTGGATCAACCTGGCTGCTTGTGTTTGGCCCTGGCAGGAGATCTGAGGCCTGGAGGGGAGGAAGATCTAGGTATAGATCCTCTGGCTCCCACCCTTTTGGTCTGTATCTTTCTGCCAAAGCCTACAACTCCAGCCCTCTCCAAATTCCAGGACCACTTCCTCCCCAGCAACTTCAGGCCTGGACTGGTAACAGCTCCCAGACCTTGTCACCATTCCTTGTTGACTTCCTGTCATCCTGTCCATGACTCCTTAGTTGTGCCTCTTAAGTACATCAGCTGTGTGACAGGTGACCAATACAGGCATGTGTTGCTGTTTTTCTCAACCCAATTCCAGGTTATAGATTCCTGCACAATATTAAGTGCTCTCAGGATGAAGTCCTTACATACATCCAAGGTTCTTCACACATATTATTCCCTCTACCTAGCATGCCCTTCCCCATCCCCTTCTCAGACTTTTGGAGTCATATCTGGAAGAAATTTCAATTCTGTCTCAAAGGATTGACATTATATGAAGTATATTATCTAACCACAAAGGAATTAAGTTAAAAGTCACTAATAGTAAGTTATCAAAAAAGCACAAATATTTATAAATTAAGCAACAGGTACCTAAATAAACTTGGTTCACAGAAAAAGTTCACAAGGGAAATAAGATAATATTTCTAACAATGATAATGAAGCACAACATGTCAAAATGTGTGAGATGTAGTTAAAGCAGTGCTTAGAGGGAAATGTATAGCTTTAAATGCTTATATTAGAAGGTAAAAGTTTAAAATCAATGATCTGGCCCGGCTGGGTGTGGCTCAGAGGTTGAGCATCGACCTAGGATCCAGGAGATCGCGATTCGATTCTCGGTCAGGGCACATGCCCGGGTTGAGGGCTTAATCCCCAGTTGGGTGTGCAGGAGGCAGCTGATCGATGATCCTCTCATCATTGATGTTTCTCTCTCTCTCCCTTCCTCTCTCTGAAATCAATAAAGGTATATTTTTAAATAATAATAATAAATAAAATCAGTGATCTGCCCTGACTAGGAGCCTCAGCTGATTGGCTCATCATCCCATATATCAAACAGTTGCAAGTTCTATTCCTGGTCAGGGCACATACCTAGGTTGCGGGTTCGNGAGCCTCAGCTGATTGGCTCATCATCCCATATATCAAACAGTTGCAAGTTCTATTTCTGGTCAGGGCACATACCTAGGTTGCGGGTTCGACCCCCAGTCGGGGCACATATGGGAGGCAACTGATTGATGTTTCTCTCTCCCTTCCTCTCTAAAATCAATGAAAACATATCCTCAGGTGAGGATTAAAATAAATGGTGGGGAAAAAAATCGACGATCTAAGTTTTCATCTTAAGCTAATAAAAGAAGAGCTGATTAGACAGGTAAGTAGAAGAAAAAATAAAGATAAGACCAAAAAGCAAAGAAATAGAAAACAGAAATTAGAGGAAAAAAACCAACAAAGTCAAAAGTTAGTACTTTGAAAAGATTAATAAAACTGATTAATTTCTAGCAAGACTAATCAAGAAAAAGAAAAATTACATTCCTAAGAGGGACATCACCACAGACCCTATAGACATTAAAAGGATAACAAGAAAATGTGAACAGTTTTATACCAATAAGTTCTACAACTTAAATGAGATGGACAAATTTCTTGGAAACAACTAGCATGCTAATTACAATAAAAGAAAATTACAAGGCACTATGGGGGAATTCAGTAAAGGGATTTTTCTAAGTCCAGAGAGATCTGAAAAAGATTTCCCAGAAGTAATATTTAAGCTGAGATCTGAAGAAGTGGGATTTGACCAGGCTGACAGAATTATGCCCAAAGGCCCTGATGTTGGAATGAGGTTTGTGTGTCCAAAGGAAAAAATATATACTCTAGTGACCCTTTTTGGTGTTTGGTGAACACATACTTATGTTCTTCCTGGGTCTTCAAATCAAAGACCCACTTGATTTGAACAGAAATGTTTAGAGACCAAAGCAAACCTACTGGTCAAACAAACCTTTGGAAGTTTCTGTGCTGTAACTGAAAGGCAATAAATCCGGCAAAGTATATCATTGCCTCAGTTTTGGAGCTAGTGTTTCACCTGGCTGGTGAAGCTCCTGAGGCTTTTCTTCTTTGTGACTTCACATTGGAAATGCTCACACCCCACTTGGCAACTGTGCTTCATACCATGAGTTCTTTGGCTCTGTCTGCTCCTCTTAGCTGCATTCTACCGAGCAGCAAGATGAGGCTTCAAAGGACCATGTCTTGCCTGGGGTCACTACCCTCCACCTGACATGTATATCAACTTTGGCACTGTTTGGGCTGCGGTGTGTGTCTTGGGCTTGGGTTTCCCAAACAGCCTTCCTCATGCCCAGGAGTCCTCTCAGGAGTAGAAAAAATAAATATACCCGGACCATCTCATTTGTCCCTCCCATCTGCAGAACTACCACCACCAAGGCTCAGAGAGGTGCTAGGGTCTGATATGTCCCAATGGAAGGGGTGGGGAGAGGAGAGAGTCTCTTTCAGTACCCAAGTATGTATGCAACTTCCTGCCAGTGAGGAAACTATCAGTTAGAATCAGCCCAGCTTCTCCTTTCCCTGCTCTGGCCTCACAGAAGGAGTTGTGGTGAGCTGTGGGCCACCCTGGCCTCAGCCAGATTGCCTGGCCAAACGCTGGAGAAGCGATGCCCTGGACTGTCCTGCTCTTTGTGGCCGGTGAGCCTGACACCCCTGTACCACCCCCACACCACTCCCCCATGCCTACCCACCTTGCGTCTGCTCAGGAGGCAGGAACCAGTGCCTGGGGCTACCTTCCCCAGGTGCTAGAGGAAGCTGAACCCTGACAGATTTGTTCCAGAGCCTTGAAAATGTCCCAGGAGCATGGCTTTCTTTTATTGGGCTCCTCATTATCCCCACATCATGGTTACCAGAAATGCCACCCTTCTGGAGAGAGCAGTGCCCACACCCCATGACTCAGCCCTGTTGGCCTCTGAGGCTCCCACCTCCAGGGCCAGAGCAGCAGATCTGCTGGGGGACAAGGGAGGCGTGTATAGACCTCACCTGAGCCAGATCAGTGCTCAGGAGCCTGGGGGCAGCTGGGAAGACACTGGTCCCTCCTGTAGGAAACTGAACCCCCAAATCTATATTGCTCACCACAGACTTGGAAGTAAGATAGAACCTCTCAGCCCTCCCCTCCTCCTGGTCTCCTTGTCTCTCATCCCCTCCAGCCAGCCTCCTTGAATACCCCATACCCCTCCCAGCCTCCCAGCCTCCCAGCCTCCCAGCCTTTGCCGATGCTGTTCCCTCTGCCTTAAATGCTTTCCCTCAGCTCTTCCTGTGTCACTTCAGGGAAGCCCTCCGTGGCGACCCCAGCTAATGCAGCCTTCTCATTACTCTGATGTGCTGCACAGCATTTATTATCTCCATGAGAATGTCAGCTCCCTGAGACAGGCATGTCTGTGTGTCTGTCTATCTCAGTCACCGCTCTGTTCCCAGCACTTAAACAGGTCCTGGTGCATAGTCAATGCTATTGATTGAAGTAGTGAGAATGTAATTGCATTGCTGTGTAACCACTGCTATTATAAAAAATTTTTAAAAAGACTCAAACACAATGACCCCTCATTATGTGCTAGGCATTTGATTCACCAGCATTACAGTGGGGTTGCGATGATTAGCCTCCGGTGGTACATAAAAACCAAGGTCCACAGAAATTTGTCAATCAGTTAGAATCTATTTTGATTTGAATGTCTTCTAGAATATGTAAAAAGTAATAATAAATATATCTTCCATGCTACATGTATAATAAGAACTTCTATCATTATATATATGCCTTTGACGTGTTTTCCCCTTGAAATTATTAACTGTGTGTTTGACAAGTGAAAAATAAATCTGTAATCAGTTGTGGGGGAAAAACAAGGCCCAGAGAGGGTGAGCCACTTGCCTAAAGCCACACAGCCAGGTTTGCCCCTGATCTGATCACTCACTCACTGACCTCCCTTATTCTGTATTGTAGGCTCCATGGCAATACCAGCGCCATCCATCCTGCTGGTGCCCCCACACCCCAGCAGTCAAGAGGACCCCATCTACATTGAATGCATGGCACCCAGGGGCTTCCCAGGGGCCAATTTCACCCTGTACCAAGGGAACCATGCTGTCCAGCTCCTGCAGGCCCCTGCAGACCAGCTCAGGGTCACCTTCAACCTGAGTGGTGGTGACTGGGAGGCTGCAAGGGGAATGTTTCACTGTCGGTACGGTGTGTTAGGCGAGCACAGGCAACTGCAGTTGTCAGACCTCAGTGAACCTGTGCACGTTTCCTTCCCAGGTAAGATCCTCTCATCAGCCCTCACTGCCTGGGCCCCATTTTCTCACTACCAAGCCTTTCTATGTACTGTTCCCTCTGCTTGGAAGTTGTCACAGGATGAGCCAGACTTCCAACTTGCCAGGACTTACTCACTTTTCCTTGTTTAATCCTCACAGTCATTCTGTGCAATGGGTATAGTGAGTCTCCCCATTTTGCAGATAAGGAAACCAAGGCACAAGAGATGAAAGGATTGCCCAAGGCACACAGCTATCAGGCAGCAGAGCTGGGATTCCACTGGCCTCCAAAGCCCAGGCATTAAAGCTGTATGCTCTGCTGCCCTCCTCCCCTCCTGGCCATCCAACATTTTAGAGCACCTGTTGTGCACCAGGCACTCTCCTTAGCAGTGTAGGCTCAGCAGTAAATGAACCAGACAGCGTCCCTGCTCTCTTGAAGTTGACATCCTGAGGGGATGGGGACAGACTTTAAATAAGGAGTCTGATAATTATTCAATCTGCCAGTGGGGGACAAGTAAAACGCCAAGGATGAAATACAACCTGGCAAAGGATGTCATTTTAAATACAAAGGTGAGTGGTCAGGAAACACCTCTCTGAGGAGGTGATGCTTGAGAAAAGACCTGAATAATAAGGAGCCAGCCCACATGAATGTCTGGGGCAGGAGGGTTCCAAGTAGAAGGATCAGGCTGTGCAAAGGTCCTGAGGCTGGAGTGTACCTGGTGTGTTTGAGCAACATGGAGGCACCCTTGACTGAAGCCTAGTGAGCAAGGAGGAAAGTGGGTAGAGATGAGGGCAGGGAGGTAGCAAAAGATCTTGCAGGGCCTTGTGGCCGCAGCAAGGCATCTGGTTTTTGGATGAGTGGGACAGAAGTCCTGGGAGGGCTGCTGGACAGGGGGTGGGGGTGGGCTCTGGATCAAGGAACAGGAGGGAGGAGGGAGCCTCCAGGTGGAGCCTCCATGTCAGCATCAATTGGAACTTCCCAGCTGCAAAGAGAACTTTGCTGCCAGCAGAGGCTCACATGTTGTGATGACAGAACAGTCTCTGTGTTCTTCCCGGCCTCAAGTTCCACTATCAAAGGCCCCCTTCTCTTACCTTGGTCCTGTGGTCTCAGAGTAGGGGAGGTGACAACCCCCGAGCCCCACCCCAGATGAATGAATGAACAAGGCTAACACTGTGAGAACACGAAGTGGGTGTCTCTCCTTCCTCCTCCTGGCTTAGCTCCTGACCTCCACTGGGGTCAGGGCATCTGCTCCCAGCTCCCCTGAGAGATCACCTCTCTCTCCAAGGAGGGGCAGCCAAATCCTTTGAGGAGAAAACTCTGGAGCTGTGGCTTCATGCTTCTGTGGCTGACCTCTGTGTAGGCCTCATGGTCCACCACATGGCTGGGGGTGGATGTCCTCTGATCCCCTGGTACCCATGTTGATGCCAGCAGAACTTATCAGGCGGCAAATAACTGAAAATTTGACTCAAACTGGCTTCAACAACAGAAGGAGATTCGTTGATTCACTGAACTGAAGTCAGTTCACCGTGCTGACTTCAGACATGGCTGGATCCAGGTGCTCAAAGGTATCAGGAATCATTTGCCATCTGTCAATTCAGCTTTTTTCTGTGTCTTATTCTCAGGCAAGCCCTCCCTCTCATGGTAGCAAAAATTTTTTTTGTGTGTGTGTGTTTTTTATATATCTTTATTGATTTTAGAGGGAGGAAAGGAGAGGGAGAGAGAGAGACAGAAACATCAATGATGAGAGAGTCATTGATCAAGCCCACAACCAGGCATGTGCCCTGACCGGGAATCGAACCCTGATCACCTGGATCCCAGGTCGACGCTCAACCGCTGAGCCACGCCCGGCCGGGGTGGTAGCAAAATTGTACCCAACAGCTTCAGATGTATATCCTACCAGCTTTCTAATACTGGCTGGAGGAGTAAATCTCCCTCTCTTCTATCACTATCCAAAATCTCAGTATTAGCTCTCATTGGCTCAGCTTTGATCACATGCCCATCTCTGAACCAATCACAATTACCAGGGGGAGGGAACATGCTAATTAGCTAGATACAAGGTTTGCTGGGTCCCTAGGGTCCAGCTACACTCAAGCCACATAGTTGGGGGTTCAGGGAGGGGTAGGCTAGCTCCCCCAAGATAATCTAGAGGAATGACAGTTGTCCTACCTTCTCCCTGTGCTTCCACAACTTCATGGCCTGCCCACTCTCTCTTTTCTCATTTTCTTCTAGTGCCCACTTGGATCCTGGCACTCTCCTTGAGTCTGGCTGGAGCCCTCCTCCTTGCTGGGCTGGTGGCTGTTGCTGTGGTGATCAGGAAAGGTAACAGGCAAAGAAAGTATGGCCCATGGACTGCCAGTGTGCCACCCCTGGAATGTGTAGATGCACTTCCACTCACATCCATTTTTAAAAAAATATCTTTATTGATTTCAGAGGGAGGAAGGGGGAGAGAGAGAGAGAAGCATCGATGGGTTGATCAGTCACCTCCCATACTGACCGGGGATTGAATCCAGAACCAGGTATGTGCTGTGACCAGGAATTGAACTTGCAACCTTTTGGTGTACGGGATGATGCTCCAATCAATGGATCCACTCAGCCAGGGCCAGACAGATTTTTAATATCTGCTGTTTCTCAGATGTCTTGAGAAAGTGATGTACAGTTGAAATTTTTTTCTCTTTTCATTGAATGCCCATGTAATGAAGAAATTGAAAATGTAGCCACCAGTTTTAACAGGAAAATGAGTTTACTATCTAAGGGCCATTTTTTTGGGGGGGCCATATATGATCACCAAGGATCATTTAGTCAAAAGTTGAATGCATGCCTTGGCCCATGTGGCTCAAGTTGATTGGAACATTGTCCCATGCACCAGAAGGTGGTGGGTTCAATTTCTGGTTAGGGCAATACCCATGTTGTGGGTTCAATCCCTGGTCAGGGCACCTATGGGAAGCAGCTGGTTAATCTCTCTCTCTTTCTCTCTCTCTCTCTCTCTCTCTCTCTCCCTCCTCCTTCCTAAAACAAAAACAAAAGGACAACAACAAAACAGTTTGGCCCAGCCGGGCGTGGCTCAGCGGTTGAGCATCGACCTAGGATCCAGGCGATCTGGGTTCGATTCCCAGTTAGGGCACATGCCCAGGTTGCGGGCCCGATCAATGACTCTCATCATTGATGTTTCTATCTCTCTCCCTCTCCTTTCCTCTCTCTGAAATCAATAAAGATATATTTAAAACAAACAAACCAAAACAACAAAACAATTTAACATGATTGTACCTTATTTGAAGTTTTTACCAACACACGTTACTCATGTACTTGGGGAAAATAAATGTTTGCAGTAGTTCTTCTGTTGAGTGACAAATTTGCCAGGGGAGAAGGCAAGGCTGAGTCACAAATGTCTGGGCAGAGAGCGGCGTTTTTTGGCTTTTATGAACTTGTAACCAGGATGCACCCAGGAAGAAAATCTAACAAATGCTTATTTATTTTTTGTTCCCTAGTTAAAGTAAAAAAAATGCAGAAGAAAAGGTGAGACCATCCCTGGAGACCCTCAGAGGGTGGTTTGGGGGAAAGAAATATTCAGCCCGAGGGCAGGAGTTCCTGATGGATGTTAGGAACTCTAAGAGCGGGCCAGGTTCTCCCTGGCTGTGTGGGAGCTCCACCACAAATAGCACCCTCTGCTGGCAGGGCGCTTAATAGGAACAGGTGTGCCGGGTACTGTGCTAGGAGACTCTGAAACTGGAGCTCCTGTTATCCTCATAGCAACCCTGGGAGCATGCACTATAAATAGCTCCATTTTACAGACAAGGAGACTGAGGCACAGGGAGCAAGTGGCTGAGCCTTCCTCACAGCCTTTTACTGCCAGTTTCCCAAAACAGTCTAATCACTCTAGAAATCCATAGTGGGAGGAGGCAAGTGGCATCCCCCTGGGTTGTGTAGTGCCTAACTTGATGCCCTGGTTCCTGGACATTGGGATGTCCCAACTGGTCCTGGCCTTGGTTCTCCCCTCTGAGAGGGGTGGACACCCTGCTGCCTGGTGGCAGAGAGCTAGCAGCAGCCCTGGGATGGAATCCTGACTTCATCTGGCTTGTGGGGCTCTTGCAAGAGAATTTCCATCTGAGAGGATTCAGGGTGGGTGGCGAATGAAGGTCAAGTTTGGGGCCTGGAAAAAGCCTCCTGCCTGAGATGGCATCACTCTCTTCCCAATCCCTTTGCAGAGAAAGAGAATCCTGCTGGGCCCAGATTAACTTCACCACCGCAGGTTTGTGCCTCCTCCTTGATCCTGTCCCTATCTCTGCTGCCAGGTGGGATTCACTGCCTCAAAACACTATGGGCCTCACTACTCACTGCTGACACCTTTTGGGGTTGATCACTTCCTGTAGGGGCAAGAATACACTCTCTCCCCTTTCCAACTCCCCTCCACACCAGGTTTCAGTTCTCACCTTCTCTCCTTGTCCCATCCTTGGGCCTTTCATGCATGCTCCCCTCTGCCTAGACCACCCTTCTCCCCTCTGGTCTCAATCTGAAAGTCACCTCCTCCAGGAAGCCTTCTTTGACTCCCTAGACAGGGTCTGTACTTTCTACTTACATGCTACCAACAGGCACCCTGTCATTCTTCTTACCCCTTAGTAGAAACAAAATCAAGTAATCATTGCCTGTTGGGTATGTAATATTCACCTCCACCGCTGGACGGTCAGCTCCAGGGGGGACACACTGGAGCACCCCGGTGCTTTCACAGTACCTGTCACTGTCCTCAGATGGAGCCCCACTTGTGGTCCAAATGTGTAGTTCTGCCCGTTTCCACCAGGGGGCGATGGGCAGCTGGCCTGTGTGAGTGATGCTCTGGATGGGGCTCCAAATGGAGAAACTCCATTCACAGGTTTCTTTCACTGTCTCACTCATTTGTTGAGCACCTACTCTGTGTTGAGATCGGCAGGGCTCCCTCAATGACCAATACAGAGGTGGTCTGTGACCACAAGCTCACACTCCAGTGGGGAAACAGCTGAGGTTGGCCCAGACCTGTGTGGGCCTAGGAGGGCGGTCCCCCAAAGAAGTGATAGCTAAGCAGAGACCTGAAGGAGGCGCTTTGGGGAGAGCCTGGGACAGTGGAGGAGCTGAGAGGTGTTCTCGAAAGCGGGAGTTGAGATGAGGCACCCATTTTCCAGAAGGTAGCTAGAGGCTGCTGAAGGAGGGCTCGGAGCAAAAGAGGAACACGATGCAATTTGCAGCTGTGAACGGTTCACTTTGCAGAATGGGCTGGAAGGGAGCAAAGAGGTTGCTGGGAGATGGACACCACCCCCTTCCTTAGGGTGGACTTTGGACCTATGGGCTTGTGGGGATGGGGGTAAGCAGGGAATTTAAACTGGCCCTAGTCCTGATTTCCTTCTCTCTGTCTCTTCCAGACATGTCCTTTGATAATTCCTTGTTTGCGATATCAATGGTAAGTCATTTCATTCCTTGGTCCCGGTTTATTGTTGACTGTCCTAACACCAGGAAGGCAGGGGCCATCATCAGGCTGGGTTGACCTGTAGTTTCTGATCTTCAGGGGAAGAGGGTGGTCTGGAAAAAGCCCAGAATCACTGAGCAGGGATTTGTTTGTGAGCTGAAAGTTGGCTTTGAGACACCCTGGGGGATTGGAGTGGCCACATCCAGGCCATTGTGTGGCAATGGGCAAGCCCCTGGGTGTGCTTGCTGTTGGGGTCAGCACTATCTTTGTATTCAGTTGGGTCAATCCCTCAGAATGGTAACAGAGGGGACTCAGGGGGACCTGGGTTTTTTGGGGGGTCATGGAACCTTGTGACAATCTGATGCACACTGTAGCCCCCTCCTGGTATAAAGAAAAGCCTACTTTGTATTCAGTTTCCAGGACTTCAGCTTAAATGTTCCTGTTGTGCATTTTCTCTTTTAGTGGAGAGGGCCTCACTACACACACACACCCTCCTCATCAAAGGGGTGGCTCCCCTAGATCATACATGTTCGAGCTGGCATTTGAATCCCTCTGCACAACTGCATCTTGGGGTGCTCTTGGTGTTTGTACTTTATTACTATCCCCCACTAAATTAGAGATAGCTGAGCCATGGCCCCATAGAGAAAGAAAATGTTCAGCTGCTCCTCTTCACACAGAGACGAGTACAGATCTGAGGTGAAGGTGGCCCTACTCACGGTGGCCTCAGAGGTCCCATTTGGACAAGTAGACACTTTGGGACTGCTGTCAGGGCAGAGCCCTCTGCTTGAGGCACCGTGATGGGGAGTGGGATGAGGGGGTGGGGAAAGTATTCACACCCTTCCTGGGCATCTGGACAAGAACAGGATGAGGCCCTCACTCCTTCAGAGCGGCTTTTTTTTTTTAAATATATCTTTATTGATTTCAAAGAGGAAGGGAGAGGGAGAGAGAGAGATAGAAACATCAATGATGAGAGAGTCATTGATCAGCTGCCTCCTGCACGCCCCCAACTGGGGATCGATCCCGCAACCCCGGCATGTGCCCTCACCGGGAATTGAACCGCAATCTCCTGGATCCTCGGTCGATGCTCAGTCGCTGAGCCACGCCTGGCCGGGCTCCTTCAGAGCTTCTTAATTTGATGGGGGAAGACAGACAATGCCACATGGGCTAGGAGTGGCCAGGAAACTCACTTCTCACTTAGCTAGGAGGTCCAAGGCGTCTCAGAGATGGCTGACAAGCAGGAAGAAGCTGCGGAAGATTGTTCCCGGCTCGGGACAAGTTCCTGGCACAGCACATATAATGGGTAGAGTGGAGTGGGGAGTTGGCAGGCCATGTGGAGAACTTTGACTTTTACCCCAAGTGAGGTGGGATCCATGAAGGTTTCAGAGCAGAGAAGGGACATAACCAGATTCAGGTGCTCACAGGCTGTGAGGACAGACTTGGAGGGTGTGAGTGGACTGCCACTCAAAGTGGTTTGGTCCAGCGTGTTGGCAGCAGAGGTGGAAGAAGCGAGCAGATGCAGGTCAGGTAGATTCAGCAGATGGGAAACATGGTGCTGTTTTTATTTTTTATTCTCCAATTTGAGGATATGTTTATTGATTTTAGAGAGAGAGGAAGGGAGGGAGGGAGGGAGAGAGAGAAAGAAACATCGATATGAGAAAGTGGCCTTCTCTACCTGCCCCGACTGGGATTCAAACCCCAAACCTAGGTATGTGCCCTGATAGGGAATCAGACCTGCAACCCTTTGGTGTTCCGGATGACCCTCCAACCGAGCCACGCGGCCAGGGGACAGCGCTGGGTTTTGACTGGATGAGCGGGCTGAAGAAGTGGGAGGAGGCATGGGAGGAGTCTTGGGGAGGGACAGCTTGGAGGGAAGAGGGACAGGCCACCTCACTGCATTATGCCCAAGAGCAGATGGAGATGTAAGTCTGGAATTCCAGAGAGAGGAGTAGGGAAGTTTAAACTGGTCCCCAGTCACTGGTATAGAGACAGTGGCCAGGAAGGGGCTTGGCACCAGGCTGTTCAGCCCTCTGAAGTCTTTGCTCCCGGAACAAATCCTGAGTTGTTAAGAAAACGCCAGAAGGCAAGGCAAGTTCTAAAACTTTCTGTGAGAAGACACAGGCTCAAGGAACAAGCCTGGTGACTTTTTTCCTTTTAAAAAAGACATTTAAAATGAATCAATGGACAACAGAAAAACAACTTATTTCTTAGTAGCCTAGTCCTGGTGACTATATATATATTTATTTAATTAAAAATTTTTTTGGAATATGAAACACATACATATGTGAAAATTATACGTACAGTAGCGTTTTTTTCTAGCACTTAACCCTTCTCAACCCACTGGTCTCCCCCTCTACACACACAGAAGTAACCACTGTTAGGAGCTTCTTGCAAAATGCAAGCAAAGGTGAAAATAGCAAATCTATATCCCTCACCCTTTATTTTAAAGACTTTTAGTTGATTTTTTAGAGAGAGAGGAAGGGAGAGGGAGAGAAACATCAATGTGAGAGCAAAACATGAATCAGCTGTCTCCTGCAACCTGGGCACGTGCTCTGACCAGAGTTGAACAGGCAAGCTTTTGGTGCATGGGATGACACCCAACCAACCACACCAGCCAGGATTACCCCACCCTTTTAAACATAAATGATAGCATGATACCTGCACTGTTATGTACGGTGCTTATTTTCCTTAACAGTAAATTCCAGTGATCTTTTCCAGTTTCTTTTCTTTTTTTTCAAATCGTGGTAAAATATACATAACAAAATGTACCATTTAACCATTTTTAAAAAATTTATTGATTTTAGAAAGAGAAACATCAATTTGTTTTTCCACTTATTTATGCATTCATTGGTTGATTTATGTGCCCTGACCAGGGATTGAACCCACAACCTTGGAGTATCAGGTTGATACTCTAACCAACTGAGCTATGCAGTTGGGGCCCCATTTTAACCATTTTTAAGTGTGCAGTTCTGTGGCATTAAGTACATTCACATTGTTGTGCAAACATCACTATCTTTCATTTAAAGATTTTGTCTTGGAAAACTGAAACTCTTTTCCCACTATACATTAACTCTTCAGTCTTACCTCCCTCCAGCCCTTGGCAACCACCATTCTACTTTCTGTCTCTGTAGATTTATCTTTTAAAAAATATACGTTTTTAATAATTTTAGAGAGAGAGGGAAAAAACACATTGAGGTGAGAGAGAAACAGCAATCAGCTGCCTCCTTCATGCCTGCAACCCGGGCATGTGCCCTGCCTGACCAGGAATTGAACCATCAGCCTTTTGGTGCATGAAACAACACTCAGCCAACTGAACTACACCAGCCAGGGCATGTAGATTTGTCCTTTTTTGACATTTTCTATTGAAGTGATTCTATACAATGTTCATCCTTTTGTGTCTGACTTATTTCACTTAGCATAATGTTTTCAAGGTTCACTCATGTTGTAACATGTGTCAGAATTTCCTTCCTTTTTAAGGCTGAAAAATATTCCATTGTGTGTGTATACCACGTCTTGTTTATCTAGTCACCCACTGATGGACACTTGTTTCCACTTTTTGGCTATTGTGAATAGTGCTGCTGTGAACATGGGTGTGCAAGTATCTGTTTGAGTCCCTGCTTTCAATTCTAGTTTCTTTTTGAAGCATTAGAAAGCTGTGCTGTTGGCTGACATGAAAATGAAGCAGCTGACAGGTCTCTTAACTTGTACTGTGTTACTACACTGAGGATCTTGGTATTTACTTTGTAACACCTTATAATGTGCAATTGATATTTTTAATTAATTAAATCCTCACCTGAGGATATTTTTTCCATTGCTTTTCAGAGAGTGTTAAGGGGAGAGAGAGAGAGAGGAGGAACATGGATGAGAGAGAGACACAGCAATTGGTTGCCTCTTGCAGGAGCCCCAACTGGGGCGAGGGATGGAACCCGCAACTGAGGTATGTGCCTGTGGCCGGAATCAAACCCAGGACCCTTTAGTCCACAGGATGACGCTCTAACCACTGAGCCAAACCAGCTAGGGCGACATTATTTTATTTTATTCTTTTTTTTTTTTAACAAACCAGGAGACTGAAGCTGGTTATGGGCCTTCCCGGGGTCACCCAGCTAGGGAGGAGCAGGACCCCAGCCTGCTCTCATCTGCCAGGCTTCAGTTTTAGCAAGTTCATCTCTTCTTGACTGGCACTTGGAGCAGGAGCTTTCAAGGCAGAGGAGAGGGTAGACTTTTGAGGAAGCCCAGAATGGAAGTAGATAATAATAATAGCTTTGTTCACTTAATATTTAACCCTTACAATGTGATGTGTCAGGCGCTTTAATTCCTTTATGTTTCTTCATAGCAACCCCAGGAGGGGTGTATTAGTGCTCTCAGTATTGTGCAAAAGGGGAAAGTGAGCACAGAGGAATTAAGCCACTTGATTGAGGTCACACCACTAGGAAGTACTGGAGCTGGGATTTGAACCCAGGATGCTTGGTCCCCTATTCAGCAGAGAGGAAGGCAGGACAGAAGGCAGATCAGGGCCCTGAAGCTGTGGGACATGTGTGTGCGTGAGATAAGACCTGATGGACTGGGGAATCTCAGACTCAGAACATGGGGAAACCCTGAAACCCCAAATCACCCAGTTCTATTTTTCTTCCATGGACAAAGAAAATGACTTCAGAAGAAGACGAAGCCACCCGGGATGATTGCTCAGGTTCTGCTGCAACCTATGAAAACTCTGGGCCCCGGAAGAGACCCACCTCCATCTCATCCTCACCTGAGCCCCCTGACTTCAGCACCTTCCGGGCCTGCCAGTGAGGCTTAGGATTGGGGTCCCTCTCTCTGTCTACGCACTCTGCCCTCCATTCAGCCCTCTCACTTGAGCTGGTGGGGCCATGTGGGGCCCAAAGTCCCTCCAGCTACTTTGGGGAGGGGGGTTCTGGCTGCTGCTTTCTCAGGGAACTGAGCAGAGACAAAGGGATGCCTGACCTTGGGACCTTCCTCACAGAGGAGCAGAAGTGGAAGAGGGGGAGCAGGCACTGGCTGGGAGGCTGCACAGAAAGCAGAAAGTCTCTCTTTGGAGTCTCAGCTTAGACCACCAGGGAAGTTGTTAGTATCCTTCTGGTACTCAAATGGGCCAAAAGAGGTCTGAGCTTTCTGCACACCCCTCTGGTTTCCTCTTCCCTTGCCACACCTGACTTGGACAACCCAAGTGAGTGTTTGGAGCATAGGGTGCGTGGGGGTATGTTCTGAGTGTCCGCCTTGCTGGTATGCCTAAGTTATTAATTATAGCACATGTTGAGCTGTTCCCAAGGCCTCTGTGGAGTGTAATCCTTCAAGCCTGGGACTTCTGGGGACCAATCACTGGATGCCTGGTGGGTGGGGGGAGTACCCCTCAACTGCATGAACACAAGGGTGGTTTATAGGGAGCTCCATGAGGATGCGGGGAGGGGGCAGTACCTCAAGGAATCTCTGCCAAAGTCCTGGTGTTGGTGGGGAGAGGAGGTAAAATGATGGGGGAAAGGGGCAGATTAATACTGAGGAGAATAGTAAATGAGGAGGCCCAGGGAAGGGTGGGAGCTGGGGAAAATGGTAAGTGGCTGCAAGAGTCTTTGGGTCCCCCAAAAGGGGCCCTGGCACGGGGGGGACCTTGAGGGACGATGGGTGTGTGTGTGGGTGTGTGAGAGGGAGACAAGGTGCACGTGGCCATGCTCGGCTAGACTAGCCAGCCATCATTGGGGGAAGGCAGAGTTAACTAGGGGCTAAGGGAGGGGTCCAGAGGGAGAGGTCCAAGAATTTTTTATGGGGGAGGAGACAGTGAAGGTCTGAGACTGGAGGAGGGGGGCGCTGTGGTACGGGAACGGAGATGATGGGGAAGAGGAAAGGAAAGCCAGAGCGCTGCGGGAGAGGGCCTTCACATGGGGTCTAGGAAGGGTGCAGAGGACGCGCCCCACCTGAAACTGCTTTTCCAGGCGAGTGGGCGGAGGGATGGGGCCCGAGCGTGGGGCCCCGCCTCCCCGCGCGGTTTTCCCCGAGCGCCGCACGCCTCGCAAAGTGAGGCCCAGTAGGAGGGAGCAGGGCCAGTATAGGGGCGGGGCCCCGTCGCGCTGGACTCAGTCCGGCCTCACGCAGCCTCAAAAATCCCCGCAGAGCCAGGGGGAGGAGCCCAGCCTCAAGGGCGTGTCGAAGCCCTCGGGTGTCAGATCCACCCCCACCGTTTCCCGGACTGGGGAGCCGTCTCACAAAGCGCGGCTGTTTGCGCGGGGCGGGGCCCGGGGCGTGTCTGCACGAGAGCACCGCCCCCTGGCGCTCTCCTACCCCGCCCTCCTCTGATCTCCGTGCCCGCACCGCCTCACGAAGTGCAGCAGTTCCAGCGGCGCGGGATGGGGGCGGGACTCAGGCTTAGGGGCGTGTCCGAGGGGGTTGAGAACCGCCCCCTTACGCATGCTCCTGCAGCTGCCTTTCGTGGGCCACCGACCCATCTCACAAAGCCGCGACCGTTCACGCGAGGCGGGGCTGGGCGAGGCGGGGTTGGGCGG